TGTTGTCCTTGAAACCCTAACTATTTGACAAATTCTCTGCTTTTAAAGATCATTTCAACATTCGGAACTAATATTTCAGAAGAGAGAAACTTTTTGTGGTTTGCTTTTTTCTGTTTGGAAGGGGTTAGGGTGTGTTTGTGTCTTTAGGATCTTTCTTGTTCCCATAAGAGAAGGTTTTTGGGACGTGTTCGTATTGTTTTAGACAGCTCTCTCGACTATATACACTTGAAGTATTGAAGACAGAGGAAACATTTTTTCTGGTTTTTATTTTTCTCTCTCTCCCTTTAATATAAAGGAAAGTTTGTTAAATGAGAAAAAATAAATGGTTAGTTCCCACCTTTATTTTCTGAAACAAATTAAACTCCAAACCATGTTGTTAAACAAAAAAAACCCAAACCTTTTTATTATTTCTTTTTGGTCAAAAACCTTTTTATTATTTAAAGTTAGTAACATTAGATCCGACTAGTCGTACAAAACGGTAAATGATAACGATGAAAGTAGCAATACAAATAATACTAGTGTTATTTTTGCTAATTTTTCACACCCGTTTGATTAGGAACCATACTAGTAATACATTTTTTATCGTAAGATTGAAGAAATATTCCAAAGTACTCTTGGATTCTTCTTCTTTTTTAATGTTATTCAAGCCGTTTGTTTCAAAATTTCAGTTAAGTATAGTATGTATAGAGCAAGAAAAATTTGAAATCTAAATGGGGACTAATGAAATAATATGCGACTGATACATAATGTTTCCTAATGTGAAACAAACAACGGATAAATGGACCGAGTGTAACGCCAGATTAATAAAACTAAAATAATATGAGAAATGCCACATTATAAACATATATTAATAATTTGATAATTATATAATTAAGTGTTTCAGTTGGGTCATGCAATCTCGCTTTTTAGCTACAACGGCAATGGACCCCACTTGGAATCTCAAAAAGTCAAGGATACTTATGTCATTTCGTTAATTCCACAAAATTATCAACCACTACAAATTTTAGTAACATTTTTTTCCATAGAGTAGTCTCGTATGAACATTTTTAATACCTTAATTTCACAAGAATTTGACTGGACTCAAGATAACTAGAGTGGCTACAAGAGCTTTGCATAGATTAATGGTATTAGACATCTTCATGTGTTTTTCTAACATTGTTATCCAAAATATTTCCGTAAGTATCAATTTATATACTAATCTAAAATCGTTATCCACATTCTCACTAAATTGGATAAAGTTCAGGCTGTATTTTGAGTATTTCGGATAATTTCAATTGCGCTTACGCGAAAAGATGAGATACTACAAGTTCGATTCGAGGAACATGCAACTTTCTTGGTTCCGAAAATGCCAATGCTAGAGAAAACTTTATCCTTCTAAACCATTATATCAACCTCAAAACGATCTTACTAGACTGTTTTCAATTTAAGTTACCCCGAGGTTTAAGATCCGCGATTTGAAAAAATATACTGAGAGATTATACAGTTGCCATAATAGAACATGAAACTGTGTTACACAAATCCATCCACGAACAATACGAAACATCGAAATGAGCATTATTCATTAAATTACCATTAAGTTTTAAAAGCAAACCCGATTTCGCTTAGTTTGCTCGTTCGCGCAAGACTTCAAGGTCAACCTCAGTAGGATCAGTAGCTTGAATCTCATAATGAATCCCTTGAAGCTCCCTCCTAAACCTGTCTTTCGAAGTAGCGTAAAGCATCTTCGCCCTAATCCGAGAAGTCGAAGGAGACCTACCAATCAAAAATGTTTTCAACTCGCTAATGGGTTCAGATCAAGAAATGTTTCCAAGTAATAAACTAAATAAAACTAACCAAGCAACGAAGAAGATTTTGCTCTTTTGACAATTCTCAGAAGTAACGAAATCGAAATCATAAACAGCGTATCTGCAATCATTGTCCGGAAGAGAAGCTAAGAAATCATCGTAGCTCTCTGCAGGATTCCCAGTTTTCTCAACAACAACTTCTTTTTTGGATTCATCGATCTTGAATACAACATAACGATGCGTTTTCTTCCTCTGAAGCTCATGAAACTTGGTTTTGCTCTCTTCTGCAACACCCATTCCAGATGTTGCATTTGGCTGCAATGCAAAACATATATAAATCCATCCATTACCCATATCAAAGATTCGATTTTTAAGTATACGATTTGAATCAAACATGATTATCTATAAACCCATAAGGAAAATCGAAATGGGCTAAAGTTTTTAACATCGAGATCAAAATGCTTCAAAAGCAACACAGACAGTCAGACACAGAGCGACACACTGTTTGGAATTTTTTTTTGAGTGTGTGCCTTTTCTGAGGAAACGAAATTGAAGATCCAAAAAGTGCATGCGTCAAGAATCTAACCGAACTTAAACAAAAACTTCAGAGAATTAAACTGGTAGTGTTAGCGATTGAAGGGGCAAAGGGGTTTTTTTTTTTTTAATTACCTTGCCAAGTCCTCTGAAACTGAAAGACATGGATTTTGATTCTGGGTTTCTTTCGGACAAGAATCGGTTTTGAGAGATTGAAGAAGACACGAAATTTCTTCAAAAGCTTTATATGTATAAAAGGAATTCGGATGCGTCTCTTCGTTGCACACTTTAGTTTACTAATTAAGTTTTGAAAAATATTTTTGGTGAAGAAAAGAAAACAAGTGGACGGTGGCGTTAGAACAACGCGAGGTCTTGACCCCATTTTCATTTATTTGTTTTTTGGGACGGATTTGAGAAAATTCCTATACGTGGGCCCTATTTCTTGACCCATTGCTAATCGCCGCGTATCTATAATTATTGGGCCTTCTTGGGCTTATTATTATGACGCGATAATACTCTCTTTGGGCTTTTTAATTCACACTTGAAAAACGATGTCGTTTCTGTGTTATCTCTTTTAAAGTGTGTTTTGACGGGTTTAACGCGATTACAGTTGCGGTGGTTCACTCGAACTCCGGCGAACACCACCGACGGCCGACACACTTTCCCAGAGAGATGAAGTTCCTGGTTGGGTTTTTTCTTTCCTTTTTGTTTTTTTTGGTTAGTCTCATTTTAAAATTCTCCAAATGAATTGAATGATTTTGGTAACAGGAGAAGGTGAAGCTGATGAAGAAAGAAGAGCCTTTAATGGCGAAGAAGAATCTCGAAGAATTTCCAGTTTATTGGTTCGAAACTTCCGATTCTGTCTCTCACCGTTTTCAATTCGAATCCGACGGTCACCTTTCTGTAAAACCC